CATCAGAGTAGTCTTCTTAATCTTCTTATCTAATTCTATGTAAGAAAGAAAACAAGTGCATTCCCTTTGATTTTATACAACTTTGAAAGGAAATTGGTTTAAACCCAACGCTTCTAGAGATGTTAAAGCCACAGTATCTGACCTGGCGGTCTCTGACTCTGACTCCACTCAGCGTTGGGTTGAGGGTTGAATAAAGCCAGGCATTGAGAGGTTTCTGCCTCTAACAACTGTGGATTTTACAGCCCAGCTGTGTTGTCTCTGGACAGGAAAGTGCTCCATTCTTTCTTTGGCAGCCTCACACTCAGTCTACACATTAAGATCGGTTCCTTTGTCACTGTATTATCTTCCTCTTCACTAAAAGCTTTGTCATCACACCTCTCCTGGCTGCTGTTTCCGTCTCTTAAAGTGTTGCCGTTTATAATTTAATCACAACTTTAAGCAGTGAAATCCTGGTTTTTAATTTGATGTGAAGTGTAGCACCTAGTGATTCCAACAATACTCTCTTTATAACTTTTCTTTGGTAACTTGCCACTAACTTCTGAGACGAGTGGTTTTACATAGAATTTAAATGATCTGCTTATTACGACAAGCACCTGTGCCATCTCTGTACAAAAGGATATTTTAGTTAAACGTCTCGTATACAATTAGCCCATTATGTGGACAGGACAGGTGTCGTGCACTTTTAGTTTGAACATCTGTTTGTTCACAGACTTCTGTCCATCAGTCTTTATGCATTGTGCTGTTGTCTGGCACAGGTGTAGTAGTCTAAGCAGACACACCTGTATGAAAACTAGCAACAAGCCGAGAGCCCATTTCTATTGGAAATAAAGGCCATGTGCAAAACAAGGCTCCACTCACATATACTATTGAAGGCTTTAAACTCAACTTGTGTTCTTTGCAGTAATCCATCAGTTTGTGGTGGCATTGAGAGGTAACATTGTGGTTTTAACTGAAACTGGCTTGGAAAAAGGTTTTTTTCAACCTTAGATTAGGGCTGCTCGATTATGGCAAAAATCATAATCTCGATTATTTGGGTCAATAATTGATATCACGATTATTAAAAACGATTATCCATTTACTTTGAAAACATCCATTTATTGAAAAAAATAATGTGAACAATATGTTTTTAACAGTTGATTACCCTGAACTTTAAGTATAACTCAACTGAAAAACCAATACAAAAAATAAATAAAAATAATCGTTTTATTTCGATTATGTTGTTTTCATAATCGTTGCAAGCCAAAATCGTAAATGCGATTAAAATACGATTAATTGAGCAGCCCTACCTTAGAGCAGAAACAACAACAAATTCAAAATAACCTATTACGCTTTTTGGGGTTTTCCCTTTCCTGTATTTTTTACATTGATCTTGTAAGATACGTTTGTTGTTTTGACATTGTTTTACATTGCCAATTGTGTTTGTTGACTTGTGAAGCCCTCTGAGACAAATAGGATTTGTGATTTTGGGCTATATAAATAAACTTGAATTGAATTGAATTGTGTTATATAGGTTTTGTATCATGTAAATGGCTTAAGGCTAAAACCCCATAGTAACCACGAGAGGCTTTCTCTCCCACACTCTGAAACACCTGAAACACCTCCATTCCATAACATAGGGACATCACTATGTAACACTAGCGTTGCTGGCGCTCCAACACATTGTACTTGATAGGCTAAGGGGTGGGACATCTCTAAGCGGTAGACCAATCACAACAGAGCCGGCCAGCTAACCAATCAGAGCAGACTGGGCTCTGGTTTCAGACAGAGGGTGAAAAGAGGTGCTGCAGCAAACGTGTCACAGTGGAGGCCTAAATACAAATATGAACCTGCAAAGGAGCATAATAGGGCCTCTTCAAAGAACTACAACAGAGAAGAGAAGGCAGAACACTTTAGAAACAGAACAGGCTGAGTGTGCTGATACTTACAGCATCGTCTCCGAACAATGGGAGACCGAGCCTTCTGCTCATTCGCCCCGTGCCTCTGGAACTCCCTCCCAGATCAGCTGAGATCTGCCCCTTCCACCGAGGTCTTCAAAACCGGCCTTAAGACCCTCTTCTTTCGGCAGGCCTTCCAATAAACTTTGAGCATGGTACACCTGGAGTATTGCCATTTTTATCGCTATCTCCGACTTTTACTTTTGTACTCTATTTTATTTTTAATTTTTTGATTTCTTATTATTATTACAATTATTTGTTTAATCTCTCAAAGTGTATCAATATCCCTTGTTGTGAAGCACTTTGAGATTTGTCTTGGCAGATGAGAAGCGCTATATAAATTAAATGTATTTATTTATTGAATTAACGTCTAACATTTATCAGTGGTTTTATGGGAATTGGCTAACATTTAGCTTCAAAAGTGGCGTACTATAAAGGCACTTCATTACCAAATCGTTACCATTTAGTGGAAGTACAATGTCTTCTGTGTGGTTAATGGATCAAATGCATGTTCTTGTTTCCTTTATACCTAATACCAGATGTGATGCCCCTGTGGGTTCATCTGGAGAGGGTGTGGCTGTGCTGCATCCAGCCTCCTTGATTGCAGTAACTCAGGGCACCTGGGTCTGGTGCCCAGCAGTTATTTAAAGCCTCTGCTCCTCTCTGTCTTCCTCTCTGTCTTCCTCTGCTTCTCCCTGCAGGCACCCCGGTTTTGTTGAGTATGCTATGCTTCACTTTGTGCACTTCAACACTCTCACACACATACATGTCCATACAATCCTCACCCTGCATTTACACTACTGATACCACTGACATCCACACCTCATACTTTACTTGTTGTTTTGCACTTAATTAATTTGGTTGATTTGAATGTTTTTCTTAAATAAACATATTTTGTTAAACGTGGACATGGTGTGTCTCCTCTTTGTTGTGGCCTTTTGAGCCAGGTCATAACACCAGATAATATGAAAGGGCTCTTTGCTTTTTAACCACAATTTTGACGTTTGACTCTAGCAACAATTTAACCACCCAGGAAACTCTTAAGTCCTAAGTATAGTTTGCAGGTATTCCTTTCCTTCAGACTTAACACAGCCACTGTTTTAGCAACAAGTCAAAACTAGCCACTCCACTCGCTGATGTTCTTCAAGCTCATTGCTTCGAGCACGCAGTAACAACGAGGAGAGACTCAGATGATGAGCATATAAGCATTTATATGACTCAGATCTCCTCTCAGCTGGATTATGCTTGGAGCACCAAAAAAGCCAAGTACGCTGTGCATCCTTTTATCTTAGCGCCGCTTTTGAAGAGGAATCTCCCCGGTGATACATGAAAAGTCTATTCATGAGCCCTCTAATTAAATTCATCGGTGTTCTTTGATACATTTTAAATTTGAATCCTGTATTCAGCACATTTAAACCTGACAACAGTTTTGTTTATGAGCGGCATTGTTTATTTATTTGTAGCAAACACATTAGTCACCTTTGAGCTGTTTAAAAAATCCATGTGTTTGACAATTATCTGCCTTCAGAAAACAAGGATAATAAATGTGACTCCTTTGAAGAACCTGAACTGAGGATATTTTGCATGGATCATTTCAAAAGGTGTGTTTGTGTGTTTCACAAAGCTTATTTTCACATTTTATTTCTTAAATGTTGCTTTGATGGCGTATTAGCTGTGCTTATGTGTCTTTGGTGTTCTTCAGCTTTGTCCACATGACTTCTAGACCTGCAGCCTGCATGCATACATTCATACTAGTGTGGAAAACTTGGGACGTTGTAAAGAGGAGACTATGTTAACATTACATGTTTGCTATCTGTGGGCTTATTGGCACATATTACAACCAGCCTTTTCCTATTTGTTTTGAACATAACAATATCATGTATTGCCTATGTATAAATCAGGAGCTCTTATGGAACAATGTTTTGGGAAATGCCACTGCAGTTATTTGCACATAAGGAAAACAAGATAAGTGATAGTTATGCAATACAAATAAGTATCTTATTTTACTCACATTGTCCACATCTGTCAGCGTTAGGCATTAAAACTACTACTTTAAAACTCTTGAAACACTTTGAAAGAAATGTAATCTGGAAGTTGTGTTCATGATATGTAGTTTAAGTGACGATTACAGTCACATATAAATTGGGGTATTTTTTACCCTCTCTACACCGTTTTGGCCAACTGAATATTGAACACTGTCAAGGAGCAGAACTGGCATCAGATATTTGGTCGGATTTGTAAAATGGTTCTCTTCGTTTTTCATCAAATAGTTAATACACTTCTATATTTTATTATGTTCAGCTGTGTGTGTTTAGGCAACCTATACAGTTTGAGTACTAGGGACTTAAATGACATAAGAGAAATGTGGTAAAAACATGCTCATGTCTCTTACTGTATATAAGGTATATAAGAGGCTCTAATAGAGATGGGAGGATAAATGATTGTATTGTGTATTGCAATAAAAACACCAAAAACACTTAAACAATAAGGTTGATTGTGCAAATGTCCATTATCAGGAGTGAGTTGCCAAAAGCTGTCTAGCTTGATATCATGGTAGAAGTAAACGATATTGAGCATAAGTATTAAGGAATGATTACAGTCAAAAGAACAGTCTCAATCAGAGTTGCTTTTTGACAATATGAATTATGACTTGCTCGGGATTTGCTATTATGGTATTAAAGATTGTGAATCTTTTTCATTGTCCTATTTCTAAGAATATCAAACAAAGGATGTATATCATGATAATGTCTTCAATGGTTGCATCCATTTGAGAAAAACTTCAGCAGGACCTACAGAAACACTTTGAAGAATCAGCAGACCAATGGCAGGTCAATATTTTAGGGGATCCAGTGCACTTTTCTACTTCACCGCAAAACTAATTGATTATTGAGCTGAAAACACAGAGACAGAAGCTGCTCAGGGACTTAAGCCGGGGGAATGAAAACCATTAATCTAGCCTAATACTTAAGAAGCAACTAACTAATAACATTGACCCTTTAGGCCTCCATCACCTGACTGGAAAGGGTACATGATGGAGAAAAGAAAGTGTGCCCAGTTGTCTCTTACCTGGATGGGGCATTGTTATGGTGTCGTTGGCATTGGTGGAGCCCACATTGTATATCACAACTGCAGAGGCGTTGTAGTTTGCAACGTTACAGATCTTCTCTCGGTAGGAACAGTTCCCATCAGCCACCAGAGCCACCCAGGCGGTGTTAGCGGGGAGAGGGGGGAACCTGAGGCTGGGGTCGCACGCCTGCCTGTCCTGCAGGCTGGACGGAACCAGGACCAGACCTCTGGCTTCTTTCTTGGGCGACTGCTCACCATACCTTCCGCACTCGGTTTTCTCCGTCCTGACCTCGGAAGTGACGGGGTCCAGATAGGTGATGTTGACAAAAGCAGTGTACCACTCCTCTTTCTCTGCAACCGTAAAGTCCAAGCACAGCAAGTGCACGAAACAAAACGACAGCAGCCACGTCGAGAGAGCCAGACTGCGGCAACATTGGATGAAGGACGGTGCCATTGTGCGGCTGCTTTTGGGGTGGATGGTCCTTGGTCCGGGTCTCCGCCTTACTGGAAAGCTCCCACCCCGTCCCTCTTTTCACCCCCAAACCTTAACTTTGCATAAGAGCCAGTGCCGGACACCAGCTCTCATGGAAGCTGTCCTAAAAGAGTTTGTGAGCTACGTGGATGAGTCTGCTACACCACCACCTGCAGGAAAAAACGACTTGGTGTGTATGTGTGTTGTTGTTCACCGTCAGCTGTTTCGCTTCCTCGTTCAGGATTGGCTCATCGCTCATCATCATGTGACCTGGGCGTGGGCACGATGGACCCTGACGACCCATGGCATGTGGAGGAACTAAACAGAAATACATCATTTAATCCACTGCCACATGAATGCATTCATATCATCATGAGAGTTTAAGCTATAATGCTTTCCATTATTGGTTTCTGCATTCATTGGGTTTGATATGTTGGAACAAACTGTATTTGTTACGTTGAATTTTTATTCCATTTACTTATCATGTGTTATCATCTGACAATATTTATTATAAAAAAACATTGATAGCCTACTTGACACTAATCGTCAATAATATCAGGAGTAAGATGTGAATGTATTTAACAGGGAAAATAGATAGTCTAAAGTTTAACAGAGGGTGTTTTATTAAAAATATTATTGCTCACATACATTATTTCATCTATTTTAATTATATTCATATCTCTACCATTTTCAGTACTTGTAAGCTACTTTATACATTTTGCCTACTTTAACTGACGCTTATCTTCATACAGTATATTGTATTCATATACCTTTTGGGTAGATATACAAATTCAATTCAGTGTGTATATATATATATATATATATATACATTTCTGTGCTTTTTGACCCTCTGGATAGAAGCTTTATTTAAAGCCCATGGTAGAAGTAAGGGAACACGGAACCAAAAGAAGGAACAAAATATCGGCATTCTGTTTCAGACCGGACACATTTTCTGGACGGACCTAAGAGAAGTTGGGAGCGCCGATCATTTCGGTAAAAAATGCAAAAACTCTGACTCTTATATTTTAAATGACACCTATATTTGACATTTAGGAACATTGATGTTACTGCTGGACAACCTACATATTACATGTAAACAGCTAATACTAAAGTTAATGTAAAATATGTACCATGTGATTCTACGTGTCCTGTCTGCAACAGCTAGCTAACAAATACGTTATAAACTAATAATTGGTGATCGTACATGTATTAGCGTTCTAGCATTATCTGAACCTTACTAATATGATTCCGTGTGTATTTATTGACAGTAGAAGCCAAATAAAGCACTTAAAGGAACTTCCAAACCGTGACCTGGCTCTTAAGATTTTCATTGCCATTTCTACTGTAGCTACTGTGCATATGACAATACTGAACTCGTGTTCCCAGGTTACCAACCGTTATCCCCGTGGAAACCAACCGTTAAACCAGTCCGTATCCTGATTGAAACGATCCAAAGATGCCCAAAAAGAAAACCGGTGCCCGGAAAAAGGCCGAGAGCCGAAAAGAGCGAGAGAAACAGTCCCGAGCCAACCGGGATGTGATCGACGTGGCCAAGCATCCCTGCAACTTCACCATGGTGTGTAATTTAAAACATAATTTCACCCATTAAAGTATCCGAAGTACTGTTTCTTATTTGATGAACTTTAAATGAAAAAAAATGTTCATATTTTATTATACTGTACTCACTTTTTATACTGTACTCAGTTTCTCACATATGTATAGTATGTGTAAATATTCTCTTATTTTTCATTTCTTCAAGTAGATTTAAAAATAGCTTTTATAATAATGCTTATTTTTGCTAATTTCTTTAAAACAAAGTATTATTTATCCTGTGTCTGTGTAATTACACCAAAGCACATTTCTCGTATGTGTAAACCTGCTTGGTAATAAAACTGATTCTGGTTATTTTGTAACTCTTCAACCTTCTGTTTTTGCAGGAATGCGACAAATGTCAAAGGTAGGTGACTGGATCGTATTATATACTGTCATTCAGGTATATCGGGTGAGCTTGTTAACAACCATGTGTTTCTCCTTGTTATGTCACCTGGTAGAAAACAGAAGAACAGAGCTTTCTGCTACTTCTGTAATTCAGTGCAGAAGCTTCCTATCTGCGCTCAGTGTGGTGAGTAAACTGCACAGACGTGTGGTATGTTTACATGTATGTTATAATGTTCATTTAACCGTACTATCATTTTACTGGTTGTGTCGTCTCTCAAATCTAACAATCATCTATAAGCTGTGTGTAGCTTTCAGCCCCAAGTTCATTTACCTCTACATGGAGACATCTATCTTTAGAAATAGATAAATCAACAATCATTATTCAAACATTAGTAAATGATTCATGGGTTGGGTACTTCTTTCAGACATTCATTTGACGCTTGACTGACTATTTACAGCACAGTCACAGTGAAGGAATAGTAATATAGGATAGCCATGTAAAATAAAGGTTGCAATGCGGCACCACAGAGGTCCATATACGAGTGTATTCCCTAAAGAAATGTTCATGTCTAAAAAACTAAAAATGCTGATCCTGCAATTCTAATAGTGCATTCTACTAGCCTTACATGAAACCCTCCCTAAAAGCCACACTAAATATCTATATCTTTCAATTCCCACACTTCTACATCCTCATGTGTCAAATTAGTGGCGTACACTTTTAAAAACCACAGTGTGTGTACATGTTAAAGATATTCTACTTTGGCGCCCCCAAGTGTTGGGATTTAAAAATACACTTTTTTTAAAAGCAGTGCATTTCAACGATGTACTGCAAAAACCTTCACCATCATAAGGCACTTCTATAAACACACCAAACTATCCAAAATCGTTGTTCAAATGGATTGTAACTCACTTTTTGTCAGGCAAAACCAAGTGCATGAAGTCTTCAGATTGTGTCGTCAAACATCCTGGGCTCCACACCACTGGAATGGCCATGGTGGTAAGTTATTAACAGTTCTGAAAAAATATAATCATGTGGTAGATATGCCTTTCCTGCTTTGACCAATCTGCGCTTATCCATCCTTATGTGCTGTTGCAGCGATGTAAGAGTACATACAGTACTACTTGTTGGTAGTATTTTAAAACAACTGTTTAAAATAAATCAGTTTGGTTATTTTTTATTCAGAGAAGTGTTTGCAGGATTGCTTTTATAAAAAAAAAAATGATTTGATTGTGATGTCTGTGTTTATGCAGCAATGTCTTCAATCAGAATCCATTTTTATTACAGGATTATCATACAGACATGTTAGATTAGTTGTTGAGAGGCATAGGATACAGTAAGTAAGTGTATTGTCATCGCTAGAGAGCAGGTGTCCAGTACAACTTCACCTCCTTGTCCCAGCCATGCACTTTCTGTGTTGCTTGAACCCAGAAGTGTTGGCCATTGCCCCCAGAGGCTAACTTACTGTCACACCAATAGCATATTAGTTGTGAGATTTATAGTGGCTTAAAAAAATTGCAAAGTGTTCCTTTTTTTTCTCACTGTACTTTTGTTCTTTACCACAAGGGGGCAGTGTGTGACTTCTGTGAAGCTTGGGTGTGCCACGGCAGGAAATGTCTGAGCACTCACTCCTGTGTGTGTCCTCTGACGGATGCAGACTGCATCGAGTGTGATCGTGCTGTCTGGGACCATGGTAAGCCCCCCCCCCCCCCCCCCTCCATTTGAAATTCACGCGGCCACATCACTGTCAAACTCAGAATGAACTCTGGCTGTTTTTACTTTCTGAATAGGAGGGCGAATCTTCCGCTGTAGCTTCTGTAGCAACTTCTTGTGTGAGGATGATCAGTTTGAGCATCAGGCAAGCTGCCAAGTCCTCCAGGCAGAGACATACAAATGTGAGTCATTTGGTTTTGCTTTCCCAATGTCATTCATTAGCGCTCTGTGGAAAATAATGTCTAGAGGGAAAGTTATTTTTTACACGCCTTTTCCCCTTTCAGGTGTTTCCTGTAACAGACTGGGACAACACTCCTGTCTGCGTTGTAAGGTGAGGGGACATATATTATTATTTCAGAAAACACAATGGAGGGATGTCCTAGTTTTATTGTCGCTACTTGCAGCTACTGAGGTTGCTGTTAACACGTTTATACACTGTAGAACTTCTGCCATCAGCTCACATCATGAATAGTTTCCACAACAAATGACCCACATCTTATTACTGATAAGACAGTTCAAATATATTGCTCATTTTCCTTTGCTTTTAATTTGAGTTGACCTAAAAAAAGGTAATATTCCCGACGGCGAAGCATCATTTAAGATTAAAACAAGTTAACCCACAGCAGGAGAGCGCTCCAATCAGATAAAACGGAACTCCGCAATTGTGGCTGAAGCTGTGGCCAGGAGTTTATTTCTCATCTTTTGAAGCAGTACGCATAATATTTACACCAGACATGTGCTCCGAGGCCTGTACTACGAAGCAGGATTTTCTCTTAGCGGCTAACTTCAGGGAAAACTCCGGCTTTCCGGTCCTACGAAGCTGGTTCTCTTTTTAGCGGGCTAGATCTCCATGGTAACTTATGCTGAGCGGCTAACCTGCCCCGGAGCAGGTTAGGTTGCAGGCTAAGAGCTCAACTCAGTGAAAGCACCGCCTGCTGACCAATCAGAGCTCAGTGTGCGGAGTTTAAAGCGATCAAGTCATATTACAGGAGAAAGGAAATACAGAAAAGCTGCCGTCGCAGGAAAGACGGCCGGCAAAAATCACCGACTGTGTGAACGTGAACATGAATAGAATATCACCTCCATCTTCAGAGCAATCTGACTATTATAACATTAGCGTTAAGAAAGCTTACTTAAATATCTGCCACAACATAAGTAACCGGATCAGAGTAACATTAAGTACAGTCCGCGGCATATCACTTCATAATGTATCATATATTTTCTTATCTGAGTCAGCTGAGCCCTATCTGGCCGTGCAACACTCACAGTGTCACATAGGCCTACTGTATGCAGAAGTATTATTTTAAGCAACACATTAAGTTGACGAAACACTCGAGTCAAATGTAATGAAAATCAGATCCTGTCTTGGACGGGGCAGTGATATCATAAACCTGTTAATGTACGCATTCAAACACTTGTTCTTTTACCAGATGTATTCACCTTGCAGGTGCAGCTCTGTGGCTTTTATCCTGGATAAAGAGTTTAAGTCATGGATGTTTAAAGTGTAACTTCTTCACATTTGTCTAATTATAGTTCACTTTTCATTCAGGAAGTATGACGCTGCGCTGTCAGTGCGCTTCTCC